GGAGCCCGGAATATAAACTAGGCGGGCTCTCGGCCCTCTCTAGTGTTAAATAAATTAAATATAAGGAGTCCGTGTTATGGTCGGGATCCCGGTTAATTTAGATGCGTGTGACTTATTTGAATATCTAGGATCCAGATCAAGATTTCAGCAAACCAGGGCGTCTCAGTAAGGCCATGGTTCTAACAAGATCTCAGGCCCGTGCCGCAGCACAAGACCAAGCGGGCATACTGGAAGGAATTGTTACCGAGGTACACGATGAAGAGCTCCTTGCTGTCGTCTCTGCACATGCCCCTGCGCAGAATGTTCGCCTAGAGTCTCAAGTCTCAAGAATCGTCGACAGCTTCTGGAGCGAGACCCAAAGACTTGCTGCAGAGACTACAATGATGCAGAGCAATCAAGTTCAACAAGCGAAAGAGTACCACGCCGCCTTGGCTGCCATCCACCACGATGCTCGAAGCAGTACGGCTGAGCTGGCAGCACACCAACAGTGTATTGAGGGCCAGATACGAGAGAACGTGGAAAGACACTAACTTGGCTCTAGGACAAGAAACTGCAAGTTATTTCCAATGCCCAGGTAGTAGGTAATGATTCTTGCCTTTTATATATCCAGGAAGCAGCTGACAATCTGCGCGGGGGGTTCGCGCATTCTGAAGTTTTGGGAGATGAAGAGTGCGATAGCATTCCAAAGCTGCGAAAGTAGAAGCAGATTCGAGAGAGAAAATGACAGTAGCATTCACAAATGCTCATAGCGCACTGGCGCAGCGGATAGATGGTGTGCTTTTGCAACCACAGGCCGCCATTAACGGAGATGTAAAAGGCCAAATGGAAGAAATGTGGGATGCAATGCAGAAGCAGATCGACATGAAGTTTCAGCAGATGACTTCGAGTATTGTGGAGAACTGTATTGCAAAGTTGGAGGAGAGTGGAGGTGTTACCACCGGTAGATTGACGATTCGGCGCGTTCAAAGGCTGGTGTCGGAGTACGTGGCTAATCAGGAAGAGAAGATGGAGCATAAAATTAAGCATCTTGTACAGAGCGCTCACTCACAGATTAGCAACGAAATGATAAACAGTTTCGAAAAGCTTGGCAACAACATGCGTGAAAACATTCGCCAGCAGCTAAAAGATGAATCCGCAGCGACAGAGGTACACATGGAAAAGCGAGTCCGTGACATGCTACAAAAAGCCCATGAGGAACGCGTAATTGAATCGCGATGTCAAATGGAGGCCACTCGCGCAGTTGAAGGGGAACTTGAGCGCACCCGCACAGAACTCAACACAGAAGTTCGAGAACTGAAGGCACGACTCGATAAACTCGAAAACAAGACGAATGAGAAGTCACCAATTATTAGAGTGCCGCCAAAACGTCGTACTGAGCGCGGGAATAATACAGTACCCGTCCTTGTAAAGCACATGAATGATCTGGCGAAAGAAAATAAGTGGTCTCAAGATGAGCGAGTGGGTCGTATGGAGCAGTATGTCCAAGCAGTGCTACGTCGAGCTCTCCAGCTTACACCAAGTCTTAGCGTCACAATTCCCCCGGTTTCATCTGATCCTGTACAGCTCCGATCCCAGCAAGAGCAAGTTCCGGTGCCGCATCATTCTACTAAGGTCAAGCGCGCAATTGACCAAGCACAGAAAGCTGTCAAGCGTCGATCGGAACTGGCCGCTCGCCGATACGATGCTCTTCACAAGAACGAGACGAATGGTAGCTGATCATGACACCGACCTCTCTATGTTAGTCATTGTTATGATTTTTAAATACATTTCGTGTTCCATCAATGATGTCGAGAGGCTATCCTTCTACCATGCCAGCTATTAATACATTGTATTTATTATTGCTTTCCGACCCAACTCAATTATGCCAATGCCAGTGGGGACGGACTTACACATTAATCACTTTCACAATACCGTAGACGCACAGCCTTCGACAAACTTGTCACAAACCATGTCGGAGGAATCGCCTTGCCCAGTAGCATCGCTTCACGATACGACATACGCTGCCTCCTCGTCAACGCCGGCGACGATGACACCTTTCCCTCTAGTCCAGACACGACAGCTTCGCCTACGATTACTATGCCGGCGACGACGCCTCCGTGTCCGTGATCTCTCGTCCGACACGGGGACCCATTCTCGGTTAAAACGCCCTTCCCAGGGAACTTGCCCCCGGCCAAAATGGTCTCGCTTTTGTCGACAGCCGCGACATCTTGCTCAATGACATTCTTGTTAAGACTGGATGAACCCACGTGTCTGCACTGGCATGCTCGGCACTCAAGCGATGAACTGATTATCGGCTATCACGCAGTGCTACATCCCCACAACGCATCATTTCGGAGCAGACAAGGACGGTAATTTCTGGTGGCACTGTGACCACAATACCCAGTACACGTACGGTCAGCGTGGGCCTCTGATAATTCACCCACGCGAGGATCAGCTTCAGCCTTGGGAGATGGACGTCGGCGCCGAATACAAGGTCCAACTGGCGAAAAAAAGGCTCAATCTTGATCAACAATCGCGGTCGCTACAACTGTGCCGCTGCAGCATCACACGGCTTCAAACAGTGCCCAGAGGACCAGCCACTTACTCATTTCCGCTTCCAAGCGGGTAAATCATATCACCTCCGCCTCATGTTCATGAGGGCACTTGACCAGTTTGAATTCAGCATTGACGGGCATCAACTTCGCGCCATCGCACCGAGCGGAGAATCACTGGAGCCGTCCAAGCTCATCACCAACATCACTATTAACATCGGACAGCAAATCGACCTTCTCGTGGTGGCGAAGAATACCACGGATATGTCCTTTGGATGGCTCTGAATAAGAGCAACGGGGCTCAACCGTTTATCCTGCACGGCGGCGCCACATTAACGCTGGCGAGGGATTGAGCCGGTTTATTTCGAAACCTACTGCAAACTACGTTGGTGCTTTGAGCGAGTCTTCCGCTACTTAGTTGGAGCTACTGAGTATGGGATCCGCTTCACAAGGGGAAGCGCACCGGGGTAAGATCGTTTATC